CTTAATTTAACACCTGTAGTGGGGGAAAGAATCCTGGTTTTGTTTGAGTTCCAAATGAAAGGTAATCAAAGCCCTATTTATGCATCCGAGTTCAGCCATCCGTTTCGCTCAGGAAATTTCTCCCTTTGAAAATTCTTTCTTATTGAAGAGCGGCGACTTGCAGGTCAGGCGCAGAGTGTCCTAGGAGATTGAAAGAGTCTCCGGCTGGTTTCTGAATGTTGTCATGTCTGATGTCAGATTTGTGCCTGTTTATTCTTGTTTGCGAAGGCTGACCTGTTTGTCCTGCGTAGACAGCAGAAGGGCATTCTTGGCAGCTGATGGCATATATCACATTGACAGATGAGCAGGTGAAGGCTTTAGGTCCGGTAATGAGGTTCTCTGAATGGATATGGGGACAGCGTCGACGTCTTGGCTTCTCGCAGGGCTCTGTTCCTGAGCTGACACCTCTAGTTCGTGGCCTGTTGTTGCTCCCGAGTAGCCATTTTAGTGTAGGAAAGGAGTCCCCAACCAATGTTCCCTCTAAGCTGTGGAGTCTTGTGAGCAACAATTCTACTCTGTGAGCTACTGGCATGAAATTTGTGAGCGAGAGATTTGGCTACTGCACAAATTAGTTGGCCCTGGAGTCATCCTTCCCGAGCGAAGACAAAAATCTGTGAGCTGGAGGCTGAAAAACTGTGAGCTAGCTCACACTAACTCAGCTTAGAGGGAACACTGTCCCCAACCCCTTTCAGCCTTTGGACACCTTTAGAATTCTAACTCAGGTGGACCATTGCACATAAGCTCCAAAACCATCCCGCAGGATTTCAAAGAGGAGAACTGAATAAAATTGCGGAGACTAGTTAGAATGAGCCCTGTCCTGGATGGCCCAGGCCAGCCCGATCTCATCGTATCTCAGAAGCTAAGCAGGGTTGGCCATGGTTAGTACTTGGATGGGAGACCAACAAGAAAGTCCAGGGTTGCTATGCAAAGGAACACAATGGCAAACCACCCCTAAACATCTACTGCCATGAAAACCCTACAGGGTCACCATAGATTGGCTGTGACTTGGCAGCACTTTCCATCACCAGAATTTATTTATTTATTTAGGTATTTTTACCCCGCCCTCCCCGCAAGCGGGCTCAGGGTGGCTTACAAGGGGCGAAAGCCCATACATAAAATCCAATAAAACAATAAAATCATAAGCAACAACACTACTAACAGTTTGGTGTAGTTGTTAAGTGCGCAGACTCTAATCTGGGAGAACCGGGTTTGATTCCCCACTCCTCCACTTGCACCTGCTGATGTGACCTTGGGTCAGTCACAAGCTCTGGCACAGCTGTCCTTGAAAAAGAGCAGTTTGTGTCAGAGTTCTCTCAGCCCCACCCACCTCACAGGGTGTCTGTTGTGGGGAGGGGAAGGGAAAGGAGTTTGTAAGCCACTCTGAGACTCCAAGTGAAGGGCGGGGTATAAATCCAATCTCTTCTTCTTCTTCTTCTTCTTCTCACAACAATAAAGTGCTTTCAGTATCAAGATGGTCTAGAGTGGTTATGATGGTCTCTTCCAACAGCCCCATTGGTGTACCACTGTCCAGTAGATCGTTCGTGCCAGTCCCATGTTATCAGTACTACATAGTTTATGGCTGGGCTATCAAGGACCATTCCCGATCTCGATGTTATTGCCACCATTGGTGGTGGTGGCAGCGGCGGCCCCTACGCGAAAGCCTGGCGGAAGAGCTCCGTCTTGCAGGCCCTGCAGAACTGCATAACGTCCCGCAGGGCCCTGATCTCCTCCGGGAGCTCATTCCACCAGGTAGGGGCCGCCACTGAAAAAGATCTAGCCTTTGTCGCAGCAAGCTTTACCTCCCGGGGACCTGGGATCACCAAACGGTTCTGGGTCCCCGACCGAAGTGCTCTTGGGGGTACATGTGGGGAAAGGCGGTCCCTCAGGTAGGTCGGACCCAGGCCATATAGGGCTTTAAAGGTAAGTACCAGCACTTTGAAGCGGATTCGGTATGCTATTGGCAGTCAGTGCAGCGCCTTCAGCCCAGGCCGGACGTGCTCCCACTTGGGGAGGCCCATCAGCAGCCTGGCCGCCACATTCTGCACTGGCTGCAGCTTCCGGATCTGCAACAAAGGCAGCCCCATGTAGAGAGTGTTACAGTAGTCTAACCTTGAGGTGACCGTCACATGGATCATTGTAGCCAGGTCATCGCGGTCGAGGAAGAATTAAAATTACTATCTGAAATGCTGGACAGGCTCATAGAATCAAAGGTGGCCTCTTTAGAGGCCCACCCCTCCAGCACCCCCTACAGTTCGGTGGATTGGGAAATGCCTCTGAAATACAGAGCAAGAACCACCCAGCACAGTACAATCCAGGGCTATTTTGGGGCAGGAACGCACAGGAACGGAGTTCCGGGTGGCTCCCAAGGTGGCCACACCCAGCAGGAAATCATTAGCATCTAATAGGCCACACCCAACAGCAGGAACTCATTAGGATTGGCTACATTAGGGGTGTGTGGCCTAAAATGCAAAGGAGTTCCTGCAACAAAACAAGCCCTGGGTTTTGTCAACAAACAAGGTAAACAGAATGAGAAGCAAAAGGTGGGTGTGGCTGGATGACCACACTTCTGGTAACATGGGGGTGCGGCCTAATGTGCTAATGAGTGGTGCAGTCAGGGGTGTGGCCTAATATGCTAATAGGTTTCTGCTGCTGGGTGTGGCCTATTATGCTAATGAGTTCCTGCTGGGCTTTTTCTACCAAAAAAGCCCTGGTACAATCCATTTGACTGCAAAGTTCTGTTCACTGCAGTTGGGTCTGTAGCAATGTTTTTGGCTGATTAGAACCTGGGATTTGAGAGAAATCATGTTCCTTCAGTGCACAAGGATGGAATCTAGCCCTACTGGTGGAGTCTGCAGATGCGAGTGTGTGAAAGAGAAAGAAATAGCTGTGAGCCGGATGAAGGATAAAGTATCTTGGGGTCCTGAGTTTAGGGTTGCCAGCTTCGGGTTGGGAGATACCTGGAGATTTTGAGGGTGGAGCTTGAGGAGGGTGGGGTTAAGGTAGGGTGGCCAGGTCTGGGTTGGAAAATACCTGGAGTCTTTGGGGGTGGATCCAGGAGAGGGTGGGGTTTGAGGAGGGGGGAGGCCTCAGCATGGTACAATGCCGTAGAGTCCACCCTTCAAAGCAGCCATTTTCTCCAGGGGAGCTGATCTCTGTCAGCTGGAGATCAGTTGTAAAAGCGGGAGATCTCCAGGCCCCACCTGGAGGTTGGCAACCCTAGGTTAAGGAGGGAGGGGCTATAATGCCATAGAGCCCACCTTCCAAAGTGGCCTTTTTCTCCAGTTGAACAGACCTAGGGATAGGCACGAACTGAACCATAGAGCAAAATTCGTCACAATTTTTGCCCTGTTCATGGTTCGCAAATGAAAGTTCGTGATGGGTCTACTTTCACAAACTTCCACAATTTTTTAAAGCAGTTCATGGATAGAGCAGAAAGAAGGGGTTTAATGGGATTCCAATTCCTTTTAAACCCCTGTTTTCTGTTCCCTGTGAAAGCCACCAAAAAAACCAACAGCTGAGCAGCAGGGATCTGCCTGCTCCCCACTGCTCAGCTGTTTCGGGCTTTCTTGTGTAGTCTCTTTGAAACTGTTTTTATTTATTTTATTTATTTATAATTTCAACGTATAGCCCTCCCTCCCCGCAATGCAGGCTCAGGGCGGCTCACAAATAGGCATACGCCAACACATAAAACAGTTAGAGCCATAAAAACCATTATTACAATTTTTATTTATTTTTATTTATTTATTATTAAATTTATACCCCGCCCTTCCCCGTAGGGCTCAGGGCGGCTAACAAGGCAAGAAAAGGCTTGCTAATAAAACATCAATACTCTGATACAGTTAAAACAACATATACAATTTAAAACCAATAAAACAATTAAGGTGCTCAGTAATCACAATCATTCCAGAATCTCAAAAACCCAAAGAGGGCGACCACAACCCTAACACAACCCCAGCATTCCCAGTAGGCATTGATGGTAGATCCTGCAAACCTCATTTAAAGGACTATGGTCCCTTTCAACAAGGTTTGCGGGGCCACAAACCACGAACCAGTTTGATTCACGAACACACCTCCCAGGTTGATTTGGTTAGTGGTTCTGTCCCTGGTTCGGCCATTTTTCCGGTTTATGACCATCCCTAAACAGACCTCTGTCACCTGCAGATCAGTTGTAATCCCAGGAGATCTCCAGCCATAACCAGGAGGCTGGCAACCTTAGGTGTGCATCTTTCTTTCCTGGTATTGGATGCGGGTTAACGGAGCTATTGTAGCAATGCCTCTTTGCTTCCAGTCATGCCGTATATTTGTAAATGAAGAAATATTACGTGACCCATAAACCTCCCGTGCCCTCTGTCACTGAATCAAAGTAGCGTTGTCCCCAGAACCAGCCACCACTTGAAGTAGGGTTGCTAAGTCCATCTTCAACCCCCCGCGGGGGACTTTGGGGGTGTTTCTGGAGGGGGCGGGGCATCCCCGACGTGATGACGTCAAGTTGGGGACGTCCGCCACCCCCCACCCTCCCGTGTGCCAGATCTCCAGAAACGGCAGTTCCCTGCACTTAAAGGAGCCAGCGTTTCCCTTTTAAATGCAGGAGCCGGCGTTTCCCCTTTAAGAGCAGCCGCATTTCCCTTTTAAGAGCACGAGGCTGGCATTTCCCCGCAAGCTTGCGGAGATTGGGCTTGGGAGGAAACACGGGTTCCACACACTTAAAGGGAGAGAGATGGGTGGCTGTGGGTGTTGGGGGTGGGGCTTCCCCCGCCAGCCATCTGGCCAGCGGCGGGTAGAACCCCCCCAAAATGGGGGACCCCTGGCAAACCGAGGGGGTTTGGCAACCCTAACTTGAAGAGATGTATAAGCATATAGTTGACAGAATCGGAGATCAAACAGGCCGAAATTTGAAATTCCTATGGATTTCCAGTTCCTGTGCATTTTTTCTTAATTTCTAAGCAGATACGGACAACGAGATGCCTGGGCTCATCAACCAGACAAGCAACTGCCCCCTCCCACTCACAGCTTCGGAGGTCACCTCTTGCGTCAGTGGCTACGCCTTTGGGATGACAGCCTCGCTCACCTACGGCAACTCTGAGAGCCATCCTTTCGAAGGTCGGGCAAACTTGCACTGTTACCTGCTTCTGGGGCTTCTTGTGGGTTTCTGTCAAGAGGACACACGTAGGCGGAGGCTCCTTCCCAACCATCAGGCCCCGGAACCGGCAAAATGCTATTGATTTAAAATATCGATTAACCACCTTCCCACAGAGTTCAAGGCTGCTTACAGTATCAATCAAGCACATAAAAAATTAGAAACATAACACACACCAAAAAAAATAGAATTTAGGACTGCTTTAAATAAATGCAGTTTTAAATGAAACAGCCTTCAGCTGTGGCTCAGTGGTAGACAGGGCTTTTTTTGTAGAAAAAGCCCAGCAGGAACTCATTAGCATAATAGGCCACACCCAGGACAGCACAGCTCATTAGCATATTAGGCCATACCCCTGTGTTACCAGAAGTGTGGTCATCCAGCCACACCCACCTTTCCCTTCTTATTCTGTTTACCTTGTTTGTTGTCAAAACCCTGGGCTTTTTTTGGAGCAGGAACTCCTTTGCATGTTAGGCCACACACCCCTAATGTAGCCAATCCTAATGAGTTCCTGCTGTTGGGTGTGGCCTATTATGGTAATGAGTTCCTGCTGGGCGTGGCCAACTTGGGAGCCAGCCGGAACTCCTTTCCTGTGCGTTCCTGCCCAAAAATAGCCCTGGTGGTAGAGCATCTGCATTGTATGCAGAAGTTCCCAGGTTCAATCCCTGGCATTTTCAGCTGAAAGGATCAGGTAGGAGGTGATGGGAAAGACCTCTGCCTCGGACCTTGGAGATCTGCTGCCACCAGTCTGAGTAGACAAGACTGACTTTGACGGACCAAGAGGTCTGATTCGTGCCTCCTAAAGATCGAAACTGAGGGGGGCTAGGGGCACTACCCTGGGGAGGTCGTTCCATAATCATGGGGCTGCCACTCTCTCTGGTGTACTCACCAAATTAGCATCTTTAATTGATGGTACAGTCAGAATGGCCTCTCCCTGTGATCTTAATTCCTGGGAAGCAGGGCTCTTTTTGTAGACAAAGCCCAGCAGGAACTCATTAGCATAATAGGCCACACCCAACAGCAGGAACTCATTAGCATATTAGGCCACACCCCGACAGCACAGCTCATTCGCATATTAGGCCACACCCCCATGTTACCAGAAGTGTGGTCATCCAGCCACACCCACCTATTGCTTCTTATTCTTTTTACCTTGTTTGTTGCCAAAACCCAGGGCTTTTTGCATGTTAGGCCACACACCCCTAATTGTAGCCAATCCTAATGAGTTTCTGCTGTTGGGTGTGGCCTATTATGCGAATGAGTTCCTGCTGGGCGTGGCCAACTTGGGAGCCAGCCGGAACTCCTTTCCTGTGCGTTCCTGCCCAAAAATAGCCCTGCTGGGAAGGAACATTTGGGAGACCATACACTGGTCCCAAGCCATACAGGGCGCTAAAGGTCAAAAACAAGACCTTGAATTGGGCTCAGGAGTGGATCAGTTACCAGTGTAAGGGCTGTAATATGCGGGTCACATGCTCCCAATAGCTACCCCCAACCAGCACTCTAGCCACAGGGTTCTGCACTTGCTGCAGCTTCCAACTAACAGTGGTTGGGTTGGGAAACTAAGTCATCATCTGTGGAAGTGCTGTGGCTTAGGGGCAGGGTACCTGGCATCCAGCGGGGGGCTCCTGGGTCCTTCCCGACATCAGGGAGGTGACACTAGTTTTTGGGCAAAAACTCTATGGTTTTTTTGCCTTCAAAACTATAGAGTTTGCCCCAAAACTAGAGCATTGCTCCCTGATGGCGGCAATGCAATGACGTCACTTCCAGGTGATGTCATCGTGCCAGGGATGTTGCCCGGCGACGTTCCCTGTTCGGGGGCGGGGCTTCCCCTGGGACCCGGGAACCCTATTGGTGGCAGAGCATCTGCTTGGCATGCAGATGGTTCCAGGTTCAATCTCCGGCATCTCCAGTTAAATAATCTGACAGTAGGTGACATAAAAGACCTCTGCTGAGACCCTGGGGACCTACTGTCCGCCTGAGTAGGCAATACTGACCTTTATGGACCGATGGTTTGATTCAGTATAAGGCAGCTTTGTGTGTTCATGGCTTCTTTTGCCTATTTTCGGGCAGTGCTGAGGTGCCCTTGAGTCAGGACTGGGTTGTATGTACTGTCCCCAGTCCAGCCTTGCACACACATGCCTTTGACTGCTGGCATTGATCTTACAGGTATACTGCTGTGAATGCATACAGCTTGCTCAGAATGCTGCTTTTCCAGGGTTCCTAATCCCCCTCTGATTCAGTGTAAGCATTCAACAGAATACATGGACCAGTGTACACATCATAGTGTTGCCAGCCTCCAGGTGGGGCCTGGAGACATCCAGGAATTACAACTGCTCTCCAGGCAATAGGGAGCTGCGGTGGCTCAAGTGGTTAAGACGCTGAACTGCAGGCTGTGGAAGATCAGTAGTTCAGCAGTTCGAGACCCAGGTGCCGCAAGACGGAGTGAGCTCCCATCTCTAGTTCCAGCTCCTGCCAACCTAGCAGTTCGAAAGCAAGAACTTGCAAGTAGATAAATAGGTACCACTTTGGTGGGAAGGTAACAGCGTTCCGTGCGCCTTGGTGTTTAGTCATGCCGGCCACGTGACCACGGAAACGTCTTCGGACAGCGCTGGCTCTTCGGCGTTGAAACGGAGATGAGCACCGCAACCCTAGAGTCGGACTCGACTGGCTTTCGAGCAAGGGAACCTTTACCTTTACCTTACCGGGCAATAGAGATAAGTTCCCCTGGAGAAAATTCGCTTGGGAAGGCGAATTCTTTGCCATTATACCCTGATGAGATCCCTTCCCTTCTCAAACCTGGCCCTCTCCAGGCTCCACCCCCCCCCCATCCGCAGGAATTTCCCAACCCAGAGCTGGCAACCCTGCGACACAGCCTTCCTCTCCCTGTTCATCATAAGTGCATGCACTCAGTGCTCCCTCTAAGCTGTGGAGTCTTCTGGGCAAAAATTCTGCTTTGGGAGCCACCGGCATTAAAGTTGTGAGCGAGCGATTTGGCTGCTGCATAAATTAGTTTGCTCTAGAGAGCCATCCTCCCTGAGCTAAGGCAAAAAGCTGTGAGCCGGAAGCTAAAAAAACTGTAAGCTTGCTCACACCATGGCTATTTTTGGGCAGGAACGCACAGGAACGGAGTTCCGGCTGGCTCCTGAGTTGGCCACACCCAGCAAGAGCTCATTAGCATAACAGGCCACACCCAATAGCAGAAACTCATTAGGATTGGCTACATTAAGGGTGTGTGGCCTAACATGCAAAGGAGTTCCTGCTACAAAAAAAGGCCCTGGGTTTTGACAACAAACAAGGTAAACAGAATAAGAAGCAAAAGGTGGGTGTGGCTGGATGACCAGACTTCTGGTAACATGGGGTGTGTGGCCTAATATGCTAATTAGCTGTACTATCAGGGGTGTGGCCTAATATGCTAATGAGTTTCTGCTGTTGGGTATGGCCTATTATGCTAATGAGTTCCTGCTGGGCTTTTTCTGCAGAAAAAGTGGGCTCACACTAACTCATCTTCGGGGGAACACCGCATGCAATGCTACCCGGTCTCACAAAATCCAATCCATATGTACTCAAAACCGCTGTCCACCGAGACGGCTTTAAAAGCAGACTGTACACAGCCACCCCATTTCTCGACGCCATTTGCACATCCATCCAGGAATGCAAGTCGGGATGCCTCCCACTGGATCCCAGTAAGCGGGACCCTCAAAGGGTCTGGCCCTTGGCCCTTGTCAGGCTCCGATGAGCCCTGACACCAGTTCTGTGGTTGTGTGTGGGCGGGTGGCCAGCGTTGTCTCTTTAGAAAAGAGAAAGGGTCTTGCTCTTTTCTATGGTTGCAGACAGACTAACATCGGCTACCCAGGGCCGGCTCGAGGTGTTTCTGCGCCCTAGGTGAGGCTGCCTTGTGGCGCAGATGCCAACCTCCCGGTGGGGCCTGGAAACCTGGAGACCTCTGGAGCCAGCCACCCTTTTGCTGCCGCCGCCGCCGCCACCTCCTCCCCC